AAAGTTAGTAGTCGGTAGTCATCGGGTTAATGAGAAAATGGAGGCCCTTACACATCAGCAAATGAAGAGTGGCAAGTGATCCATCAAATTATATTTCCTCCCAAATATCTTTCAGAAATTCTGCGTTTAGCTCATGAGAACCCATTAGCTAAACATTTAGGTATTAACAAAACATAAGACAAAATTACCCATCATTCTTATTGGCCAAAGATTTGCTGGGAGGTGTCCTAGTATTGTTGCATTTGTCAGATGGTGGGTAAGCCAAACCAAAAGATCCCAAAAGTACCTTTGAGGAACTATCTAGCCATGTAATGATAGACTATATTAGATCCTTACCGAAAATGAAGCCAGGTAACCAGTATTTGTTGTTCATCATGTGTGCTTCCACTAGGTTCCCAGAGGCAATACCAGTCAAAAAATTACAGCCCCAGTTATTGGTAAAAAATTTTACATTAGTAGAATTCCCAAGAAACATGTAGTCTGATCAAGGATCTAACTTTATGTCAGGAATTTTTCAAGAAGTAATGCATGTGCTAAACATCAAACAATACAGATTGAGCGCGTACCATCCTCAGTCCCAAGGAACATTAGAAAGATTCCACCAGACATTGAAAACTTTGATAAAGATATATTTTTATGAGAATGAGAAAGAACTGGGATGATAGGATTCCTTTGTTGTTGTTTGCAAGCCATAAGGCAGTCCAAGAGTCCTTAGGCTTCAGTCCATTTCAGATGGTGTTTTGGACATCATTTTGCATAGTATTTGTACATAGTACATTTTGAGCTTTTGATTGGTTATACATACGCCAGAGAGTGTAGTAGGTGTACGTAAGCAAGCATTTCCAAAAATGAAAGAGGTTGGAAGTTCTTATTTTATATTCTAGCTTGTCAATATCTGTAATTTGAGTTTCTAATTCATAAGAAACTACAGACTTTGTATTTGGACATCACAAAGATCTAATTTGGACCAAAGTCGTATTCAACATACTATGTGACACACAAAAATCAATATTTAGGAACTTTTTAATATTTAATTTTAAATTAAGAAATTAACTAATGTATAACACTAAAATTTGAATTATGTACAATTTGATCCCAAACTTATTGACATACATTCATAAAGGAGTAGTTCAATAAAATTTGAATGTAAGTCTACAAACATAACGACATGTCCTTTGACCCCTGACCATATGAAAACCCATCGAGATAGGGTTAATACAACATGATAATAATAATCCAGAGAAATAATGAGAGTCAGGAGAATACTTTTGCAACGGTAAGATTACAGAGGGAGAGTTAAGGTAAACACATCAAGAGAAAAGGTGAGGGATGAAAAGAAAGGGGAATAATTAAGGAAGGGTTGATGAAGTTCAGTAATAATTTAAAAGCAAATCTTTCATTTAAACCATAAGAGAATTTAGTATTAAATTGTGAAGATAACACAGCGTTCAAGGTTTTCTCATTTTAATTTGTTGAGTGGCACATTTCACCTGACTGAGACTAACATGTCAACATGTTTTTGTTTCTGTTTTTTTCAAGCCTAATTCCATTGTAACAGTCTACAAAGAGTGTCTGCTCAAAACCTCAAAATAATAAAGTAACAAATTTTCAGTTAAACATGTCAATTTATTCTTTAATTTTCAATCATCCAAGTTTTTCTTATTGCATCTTGCAGAATAACACTTATTCAAGACTCCAAATCAACAACTGCTCTACTGCATGAATGTGAAGCATGGTATTGCATGTATTGAAACACTAGTTACATTATATAAAGCAGGTATATGTAAATCAGTGTAACTTGAATCCTTGCAACCAGGGGTCTGACTGTATTCCTTATAGAACAAAAAAGGGTGGCTCCAAGTAGAAAACTAGGTTGGCTCACAAATGGTATAAGAGATAAAATTAATGAAAAGCATGACAAATTTAGGAAATATAAGTTGACTGATAAGACAGGAGATTTAGAAGATTATAGAAGATCAAGAAAGTCATTGAAACAGGAAATTAAGACATCAAAAATGATGTATGAAAAAAAAGGTTGGCTGCAAATGTAAAAATTAACAATAAGGTTTTCTTTATATATACTAAGGGTAAACAAAATGTTATGATGAAAGTAGGACCCTTGAGGGATGATAAAAGAAGGCTTGTATCTGATGATTATGAGATTGCTGGGTTATTAAATTCTTCTTTTAACTTCAGTTTTTACTAATGAAGATTTAAGTAGTGTTCCTCATCTTGAACACGTCATAGATGGAAGTAAGGTTGAATAAAATTATTGCATTAATTCTGAGCTTCTTAAGAAAAAATTTTGAAGTTTAAAGAACAATAAGTCTCCTGGTCCAGATAATATTTCCCCAAGGGTTTTGAAGGAGGTTAAGAATTGGATATGTGAGCCATCTACTACTATTTTATGCAAGTCCTTAAACAGTGGGCTGGTACCAAAGGATTGGTAGTTAGTTAATATCACTCCTCTTTTCAAGGTATGTAATAAAAAATTGTCCCAGTAATTACAGGCCTTACATCAGTTGTGGGAAAAGTTTTGGAAAATCTTATAAAAGATGCTTTGCAAAGTTATTTAACAAAGGCTGTCTTAGGACCTTTGCTCTTTTTGATTTACATCAATGACATAGATGAAAGAATGGTCAATAAGTAACTTAAATTTGCTGATGATATTAAAGTGTTGCTAGCTGTGAAGAGGATGCTACTGCTTTACAAAAGGATTTAAATCATTTAGTGAGTTGGGAAAATAAGTGGAAGATGAGTTTCAATTACAATAAATGCAAGATAATGCATGTGCGCTATCATAATTTGAATTATAAGTATAATTTATAAAGGAATAACCTTAACAGTGTCATAGGAGAAAGGGATCTAGGTGTAATGGTTGATCAGTTTCTTAAACCATTCAAGAAGTATGCTGTTGCTAGTGGTAGGGTAAATAGGATTTTAAGTTGTATCTACAGAAATATCTAATACTTGTCTAAAGAGTTCATAATGTCATTGTAATTGTCACTGATTAGGCCACATTTGGAGTAGTGTGTTCAGTCTTGAGCTTCTTATCTTAGGAAGGATACTGAATTGTTGGAAAGGGTTCGGAGAAAGTCTTCTAGTACTAGAATGGTACCTAGGATGAAGGAGTTGTCATATGAGGAGAGGTTAAGATCTCTAAAATTGTTTTCTCTTGAAAAAAGAAGAGTTACAGGGAATCTAATTGAAGTGTTTCAGATTGTAAAGGGAATTGATAGTGTTGATGTCTCATCTTTTTTTTATCACACTTACAGGAGAGAATAATAAGACTAGGGGCCACAAAAATAAATGTTTGCAAGATAGGAGTCATCTTCATCTAAAACAGCTGTATTTTTCTAACACTTAGTAACAGAGTGGTGGCCACTGGAAAGCGCCTCTTTTGTATGATGTGAAGGTAGTAAATTTAAGTGAGTTTAACTGTTAAGAGAAACCTTGATAACTATAAGAATAAGGGTTGGCTTTAATATTTTTTAAGTTTATTTATTTAATAGTTTTAGTTTAGTTTAGACTTTAGAGAATGATGAGAAACATGATTATTTCTTTATAACTATAACTTATAAGTTTATTCCTTTGGCATATGTATATAATTTTTTTATTCACTTCACAATTTCACATTATTTTGCCTCCCTATGGAAAAAATGTCTGTGGACGCTCATGCCAATAGATCCTATGTTTTCCCTAAACATTATGTAGTATTATAATATGTATTACTATATTTAATACTATTACTATTAGTATTACTATTACACTTTACAAATTACAGTACACTTATGACACTCTTAATAAACAGTTTATGTAATGCGTTATACTGTTATTCTCATATTTTTAGTTTTGTGTGATACAATGTGCATTAACAGTACGTATTTTTTCAGTGAATTATAAACCTATTTTATTACTTACCTTAAAAATTTGATTTTAACGTTTGAAATTCCTTTTGTCGAACTTGAAGATGGTGATGTACTTACACTCGAAGTTACCGACGTCATTATTGTGTTTTTAAATATGAAATGGAAAGCTGGTGCAGTATTAGAAAAAGTATGCTTAAAGCCAAATGCTGTAAACTGTTTGAGACCAGTTATGAACATACATTTCTGAAGTAGCATGAAAATTTTCAGAGTAATTAAAAATGCGAGTTTCTTGGTATCACTTCAGATTCCTTTAGTTTAAGGGCATAGTATCAGTACCAATCAAAATTAACACTACGTGTAGCACGATTCAGTTCATAGGATTTTTGTGGAGGTTTTTTTTTATATCGCTTTGGGTTAAAATATTTCAAAATAATAATTTTTCAAATTTTTTACTGCAGTTGTTGAAATTAGAAGTGTTAAAACAGATCAAATTAAGAATTTCCGTATTATTTGCTATTGAACTTTCCTGAGAACTGAAGGAAGCTTATTTGAATCTATAATTTATAAACTAAGTTTAATTTTATCATAATAACTGACATAAAAGTTCGACAAAAAACAAAACTGGGTAACCCTTCCACGAACACTTCACTGAACACATTCGGAACAACTAAAGAAGTCCTGAACCACAAAGAAAAAAATTGAAGATCTTATCTCGAGTTAATAACACAGTGAGGACACATTCCTTTGACGTTACTACACGACAGTGTTTGACACCTACCATTCATATATGTGAAGATTTCAGGTATATTACCATTACTAGTCTAAATTAAAGATTCTTCAGTTATGAAAGAAAATATGTTTATTTGATTGTTTGTTTTTAATTTTGTTCAAAGCTACTCGAAAGTTATCTCTGCTATCTGTCCTTAATTTTGATGTGATAAACTAAAGGGAAGGCAACTAGTCAATACCACACATCGACACCTCGTGGGCTGCGCTTTAACAATACAATGAATAGTGGGATTGACCAGCAGTAGTAAGCCCCGCACTTCAGCGTCCAAAGGATGCTTCCACAGCAGGGAGCAGGGGAGGAGGGAAAGGGTGGTGATGCTAGGTAGCCATGACAGAGAGTCATGATGTCATAGTTATACAAAGTGTCACCAGAGGGCGTAAACTAACTATGGAGGGCTGACATTGTATTTGGATACCAGCCAGGCGGCCATAATGAATGATTTTGTAATAGTACCACAAAGTGGAGAACATGTTTCTAGGCTGCTGATAATTAAATCATCCTTAAAAGGATGCTTGACATTAATTCAATTAATCATTTATAATTAATTCATTCTTAAAAGGATGCTTAACACAAATCAGTTAATTAATTCTAAAAAGTACAGTGAATGATAATTGATTAGTTAATTAATTAATAATTAAATCATCCTACCACAAAGTTGAGAACATGTTTCTAGGCAGCCATGATTCATACAATACATGTCTCAACGAGAATATAATTAATCACTAATTCGATAGTTAATTAAATCATTTATAATTAAATCACCATAAAAAAAGGAATCTCAGCATTAATTCATCAGTTAATCAAATCATGTTAAAAAGAATACTTAATATTAATTCATTTATAATTAAACTAAGTCCTGAAAAACAAAATCTTAGCACTAATTCATCAGTTAATTAAATCAAGTCATATTGCAATATTTTACATCATTAATAGATCGTTTATTGTGCAATAACATTTTTACTAATTTGACTTTATACAACAAAATAATTTGCAAATGTTACTTTATCTAATGTTTTATAAAGGCAGACTTTCACATATACATAATTACCATTACTACCATAGGATTTTAACAAATATACTGTGACAGTATGTCTACAAGTTGTCAAAAACATTATTTAATGTAATATGTTTAAATGAGATCAGAACTTACATTATACTACATGTGACTAATTACTATTATAGAAAATGAACACTTGTCACATTTTTGATGTAAGATATCCAAAATGCAGTCTACAAAATATCTGTAATATTTGCATCAATGAAAGCATACAATCATGAAACACACACATAAATTTGTACATGTCATGTAGAATGTACAATGACCAACCATCTGGTGGCAATGTTTGGAACTATGACGTCTTCTTCTTTGATGACATCACCACCCATCCTCCCTCCACTACCCCCACACTATATTGCCCCAACAGCTGAAAGGGTGAGCATCTTTAGCAGTGTGTTTCCAACCAGCGACCCACAAATTGCAAGAAGAGGGGTGCCCGGCATGACCAAGTGGTTAGGGCACTCGACTCACAATCTGAGGGTCACGGGTTCGAATCCTCGTTCCACCAAACATGCTCGCCCTTTCAGCCATGGAGGAGTTATACTGTGATGGCCAATCCCACTGTTCATTGCTAAAATAGTAGCCCCAAGAGTTGGGGTGGGTGGTGATGACTAGCTTCCTTTCCTCTAGTCTTACACTACTAAATTAGAGATGGCTAGTGCAGAAAGCTCTAGTGAAATTCAAAAGCAAACAAGCAAGAAGAGGGTCCTATATAACCAACTGGCCTTCAATCCCACGAATATGTTAAAATGCCTGAATAAGTCTTATTCAAAGGATTAACAATTACTGCATTATTCCAGTTGCTCTTCTTGTTGGTTGTTAATTACATGCCTAAACAATGGGCTATTTGTACTTTGCATAGATTGGGTATTGAACCCCCATTGTTTAGCTTTATAAGCCCTCATCATTATAAGTCAACAGGATCGCATTATTGTATTTCATTAAAATTTGATAAATGTTCTATTATGAAAGGTATTCAATGTTTCTTGTTGATGTTAATGCCCCATTTAACTAATTCTGAGTTTCCTAAGAAATTATACTAATAATGCAGTGTCTGCAGTAATTTTAATCTGTGTAACAGTAAAATTCCAGAGTATTGGTTTGTTTTGTTTGTTGTTAAGCACAAAACTACACAATTGGCTATTTGTGCTCTGCCTGTTGTGGGTATCGAAACCCGAATATCAGTGTTATAAGCCTGATGACTTACATTTGAGCCTCTGTGGTCTATGCAAAAGTAATTTCGTTATAAAAGTGCAGTAAATATATTAACAAAAGTATTGTTACGACAGCAGAAGTCACATGACGCTAGTAACACATCATGAGATTCTAAAAGCATTATGTCTCTTCCTGGCAACTCTAGTCTTTTCTATGCGCCCTCTATATTTGTATATATAAGCCGCCAAATGAAGTGACAGCATAGATAATTGCAGACAGGCAGAGACAGACAATTGAGTCAAGAGCAGAAGTGACCGTAAGTAAAGTGCGTGAATCGTTGTGATTATAGTGTGTGTTTAAGTGAAAGTGACTGTGGAAATTAAGTGTATTGCAAAGTTGTATTTAGAAAGAATAAACCAGTTTTGTATAAGAAAGGACTTGTATCGCTAAAGTTTCTTCAGAAAGAAATTAAACGGAAAATTAACTAACGAACTGAGGTGTAACTTCAGAGAGTGGGATGGCGAAAAAAAAAGAGATGGAAACGAGAAGTGGCAAATCAAACTACGACTTAGCAGATTTGATGGCAGCAGTACAAGAACAGCAAAAGAAACAAGAAGAGAGATTACAGCAGTTGTTAGAGGAAAAAAAACAAGAAGAGAGACAACAGCAGTGGCAAGAAAACCTGCAACAGTGGCAGCCCAAACAGCAAAATAAACAAGATAGACTATAGCAGTAGTTGGAGGAGAAAGAAAATGAACAAGAAGAAAGTCTCCAACAGTTGTAAGAAAGCCAGCATACACAAATGGAAAATATTAGTAAATTTCAAAGTGAATTAAATACATTAAAGGACGATTTACTATCTTTAACACAGATAGGATATATTAGCCATTGGCCTAATCAGCCACAGAAAACAGGAAGCCACTTCCAGACCCTGCAGCTAAACCCTAGTGCAGACATCTTCAGTCCTGCCAGAAGTCACATTCAAGACATGGGTGTCAGCAATAGGGGTGATCTATACACCTGGAAAAAAGTTAAGCACCCCCAAATATTTTTCAGGATTGCTTATTGAAAATAAGGTTTAATTTTCATGATGTTGAGCAATGTTCATAATTTCAAACATAATTAAAAGGATGTGAGCGTTCAGGTGTGACATTT